ATTCAAGATGAATATCTGTCCACAGTGCACGGGCAATCATCTTGATAATTATTTTCACGCGTTATGGTTATGCACGCCGGTTCAGAGGTTCTGGGTACAGGTATGTAAGGATCTATCAATGTGCCTGGGTTGTAAAAACACACTTTGAGGGAAGCTCTATGGAAAAAAAAATCAGTTTGCATGGTTTTTACTGCGTTATGTATCGCAAAGAAAACTATCGTCATGAATTGGAAAAGCATCAATCAGTACAAAGATCATATTAATGTTGAGACAGAATCTGCATCCCCATCAGACCGATCTCTCTGGGCTCCCTTGATCGGCTCCATCACTTAGTGTAGTGGGGGGCTGTGGGGTGCTCGGAGTGGGGTGCCTGGTGGGTCTGTTAACCCCATCGGGGCAGGGCTTGAGATGCCTCGGGGGGTCCTACATCGGCCGCATGCGGTGCTCTTGGGGGGTTCTGTGGTGGCGGACATGGGCTACTGGCCGGGGGTCTGGGGTCCCTGGGCCGCCCTCGGATGGGGGCCCCGGCAGGGCGTCGGGGCTTGGGGTTCTTTCGGGATGGCTGCTTGGGGTCTGGGCCGGTGTACACCCGGATGTGATGTCCGGTGCCTCTGGTGTGCTGGGGGGCCTCGGGTCCTGTTGGGCTTGGGGGGGGGGACATTAACACCTTATGGCAGATGCTTACCCCTGCAGGGGTTTGCACTCTGCTAGTGGGGGAAGGGGAGGGAGGGGGAATGATCTCGGCCTGGATGTCTTGTGTGGCGAGTGGTTTGAATGTTAATGTGGGGGGGGTCAGGTCTGGCTCCCCGTCTAATGTCTGCAGACCTGTATTACAGGCATAGCCTAACAAAGACCTCAACGACCCCCCATTCCGAAGGGGGGGACCCGTTCATCCGTTTCTATTTGCATCTTTTATAAATAAAACCAGGCTTTGTTGGGCTGCTGGATAAAACCTGGAACTAAACGCTATTTCTGACATTTTGGATTGAAAAAGCTTCCTGGATGGAAGAGAAACGTCTTCAAACATGGAAACAAAGTCCAGTTGATTGATTTTTAACTTTTTTGGAGTGACTATGAC